AATTATAAAACGTCAGCTTTTATAATCGTAACGGTGGCCAATTTACCATTTCAACTTTGTTGATATATTCAAATTATTATGTATATGTATAGCTGTTCTTAATTTCAATACGTATGATTTATAACCGCAGTTCAAAATATATGAACTTCATATATTCATCGTATCTAATTGGATTGAAGTTGCGAAAAAAAAAATTGCGGACAATTTGAATCATATTTCCGACGACGGAGAGTCGGAACAGCTAGCAAATATAGATCCAAGTTTATTAGAGGAATCGAACGAAGAAAAACAGCAAGACGACTGGGAAATATCGTCATTTATTGAAGAAAATAGAAACATCAACGCGACAACGCGCCACTTCCGTTCCGCTTCGCATACTTCTGTCACGCACTCCTCGTAGATAAATATCGGGTGAAATTCGCCCGAACTGAAATGATTTGGCGTGTTGGATAATAAATAACTTATAAGACGTTTTGTTGTGTAGTATCACTGAGTATCTTAACTCGTTTTAGCCCGTAGGGCTCGTCAAAATACGGCTTGTAAATATACTCAGCGATGCTACGCAAAACATCTAAGAAGATCTATAGTACTCACGTTGACATTGTCAAAGAGGGCTGTTTTAATTCAAATGTCGAAGAACAAAAACCAAAGGAGTCACAACAGCCACTAAAATAAAAGCTTAACGTCATTATTGGCCAAAGAGAGCTCAAAATTAAAGCAGCCAAACTGCCAAAATTGCTGGAGAACGCCGATGACAAGGTTTCTGTTGGATCAAGTTTTGCGTCCGATTGGTTCTGACGTGAAATCGCGCGTTTTCTGGAGCAATCTCATTACTTTCAACACCACTAAAATTGAAAATTGCTCAATCTATCCTTCCAATAAATGTGTTTTGAATATTGCTCAATGCTTCTACTGCATCCTCAGGAGAAGGAACCACGCCATTAGATGAGGAAATGGAAAAATTAGCACTTGCCAGTTCTCCGGAAAATAATTTTGAGACCGCGGTAGCCGGAACAGATCGTTAACCGAAGAAGAAAACAAAGGCTCACCAGGTAAGCTGAGAGAATTTTAAAATTTATTATTCTAGTTCATAGATAAGAAAAATGCCCAAGAATACTCAGGTTGGTCATAATAAGACTGTTCAAGTTCAAATAAATGATTGTAAAGGATGATTTTTGAATCACTGATGCCCACAGATCGAATCTCTTCTTATTAGACATTTGACGTATGAGCTGCTTCCTGTTTTTGTTTTGTTTTGTTTTTGGTTTTGTTTTCTCTTTTTACTCATAAAAGAGTTCTTCTCCGAAATATGCTTAAGTTAGGAAACCTCGCCTCATCCACTGTTCTAAAGGACAAAGCGACTGGGACTTGTTTGAGTCGAGTTTTCGAGCATCCTTCCTTCTACTTCTGTCATTAACTTAATTTCTTATTTCTCGGTTGGAAACTACAAGATACGATGAGAAGGAAAAGAGGAAAGGAAAAATAATTTCTCATGAAACAAAATCAGACATAATTCATTTAATATCCTGTTTCTTCTACAGTAAAAATAAGAAGCCGGAAATTGAGACAAAAAACACGAGACACTAAAAAATCTTATTTTTCGTTATCACCAGGTTCAACGCGAAGAATTAAGTGATGAATGAATGGATCGAGTCAAAGTCTACTGTCAGCTTTTTTGTGGCATGGGGACACAGTAAATCCTTGAAAGAAAAGACGCATTCTCGAAAACATATCCCAGGCACACATAGTGAGCAGGCCAGGAATGTAATTAATCATTGGTTTTCTCAACCAAGAAAAAAGCGTTTGAGCAGGAGATTTTACTAGTAAGAGTTTAGACAACAAAGCATTTTCATAGATAATCGATGTATCTACTTGTGTTCCTTTTTTTTAATTGACTAATGTACGTCACAACCACGAATAACAATTACGTACAAATTGCGATGCTAACGGTTTCGTTGGAAGCTAGGAGTAAAGTAATCAATCAAATAAATCGTCAAGAATGAAACTTTTTCACGTGCTTGTGAATGCTTTTTATTTTTATTTTAGAGACACAACGTGCGTTAAGCGTGTACATAGGGGGGGGCTGACAATCAATTAACCTTGTTACTAACTCACAGTTGTATCAGAGTAGAGGAATTGTTGTAACTCTGTACGCTGTGGGTTTGAAGAATACACCTTGTGCGTCACTGGAGTTTGATCCACTCGTTCTTAATCTTCTCTAAAAATTGATCAAGCACCCAATAAGTATAGGTAATCGCATGGGGCCGCGTAAAATTAAGGATTAATCTCAAGCGTGTTTTCGGAAGTTGCTGAAATTGCCCGAGTAATTTATCATGCTCGTACCCTTAGCTTCTTAAACGGCGCATGTACGTCCATGCAAGACATAATTCAGTAGACTGTCCCAGATGCTATACTTGTCCTCGATCGGATCAAAAATATCTCCAACATGCCATGGTGCCATATGCAGATCGTATTTCAGTTCTTCTTCATTGACACTTTTAAGATTTCAAAAGGTGATGATTTTACTTGGATTTTCAATAATCCGTATACCGGTGCATGGTCGCTCAGCTCTGGGTTAAAGACATCACACCCTTGAAACAGATATAGCTTGTTAGTGAGAACGATATCCAAAAGGGTTTGGCTGTGGTCTGTTATTCTAGTGGGTTTATTAATGAGGCAAGAATAACCATGTATATCTTCCAAATCCAACAATATCCTGCCCTCTCTTCGTTCAGGTCTCAGTCGATCTAGATTAAGATCCCCAAGGACTATAATAAATTGTTTTTGAAGTGAGGCAAAGGTGCAGATGTTGTTTAGTTCTTCCTCTAACCTGAGGTAATATTGCTCATCGGTAGATTTTGAGGGTCTGTAGATTCCCACTACCACTACATCATGTTTCTCAAAATTGACTTCAACAATTAAAGGTCCAATAGTCGAAAATTTTCGGTGAACTGCTAATTTCTTGAATGGTGTTATCGAGGATACAAATGCCATAATACCACCACCACCCTTGGTTCGGTCATTGCGGTAGATGTCATAGCCACTGATTTTGAACAGAGCAGTAGGGTAAGTTGCGTCAGTTTTTGTTTCTGTAAGAAAGAAAACCTGTGCTTTGAATTCTTTCACAAGCTGTTTCACCTCCTCAAGTTTATTTTGGATTCCATTGATGTTCAAATGCGGTATAAGAATCCCTCGGTCATCATCGCTTCTTGATTTAATAAATTTTGGAAGCAAGGGAATTCGCACTGGTGTTTGACAGATTTGACGTGTTCAGTGTCTGTGTATAATATTCGCCTTCATCCGACAAAATTGATACATCAGCGAAAGGAAAGGCGGTTAAAAAGCATACTGGGTAAATCCAGTTGAACTGATCCATTTGCTGGAGGCGTTTATACTCCTTGGGCTTCACTTGTCCGCACTTCACATGGCACCACAGCGTGCATTGGTCGTGCATTGATGGTTTCTGTCAATCACTTTGTTACAAACAGAGCAGTTTGTAGGGCCAGGATTTAATTCAATGTCTCCGCTGACAGTAACACGCGTAACTTGAAATCTTGAATCAGAATTCGGGTAATACTGTGCTTGTGACGCCAGGAAGCTAGCTCTCCGACGAACGAGACAATCCAAAATGGCGGGCTTTACAGACATGTCCGTCAAGGCGTAAGAGCCGTAAAGGCAGTGATACGTTTGCAAACAAGGAACCAAAATTCATTGGCCTGTGGAGTATTGTTTTACCTTTCGCTTCATTGCCAGGGCTGGTTCATCCTTGGAGACCCAGGGGCTGTGAGTCGATTTCAGCCCCTGGGTCTCCGAGGATGGGGCTGGTTACGTTCAGGAGTAAGAACAGAATAAAATGCCAAAAGTATCGAGAGAAAAAAGACAAACATCCACTCGCCATTTTGACCGCTGACCTTACTGCCACATACGTAACTGTTACGTTAAATGTAGCCAAAGAATGCCTAAATGAGTTTGTACTACATCATATTGCAAACAGCGAAAAGGCCATGGAGTTGCACATTCAGCACATTTCCGCGCACAGAGGTCTGGAAACAAGGAAAGTTTGGCAGTTGAAGGCAGTTCAGGTTCACCATGGCTTCCCGAAGTAACGTAGAAGACAACTTGCGAGGGTCGATTTTCTCGATCGAAGCATCTAAAGATCAGAGCTCTCCTTCTATGAGGAAAGGAACAGCCTTTACGGTGAAACTAGAAGGATCATCTACAACGCATTTGATGACTTGCTGTGCGGTAGTTGAACAAAGTGGCACAACTTCTTTAAGCAATCTAACTTGTAAGCGATTTGGCCAGTCTCCTCAAGAGCGGAAACATCCTATAAACCCAGATTCAGAAGAGTCCTTGAAAACAGAAGATTTCCGCTTTATTCCTTATGAATCTTCTATGAACTTAAAATTAATCAGCGCCGATAAGGTTCGCAGAGATGGTAAAATGAGGACACGGAAGCCTGCTTGCCAGTCATTTACATTCTTTGGAAATTCCTTCACGACCATGAATTGGAAATTCAAAAATGAAGAAGGGATTTATGCTTTAACCAAGGTGGATCCTGAGGTGGAGCTTGTTGCGAGTTCTTGCAGAGGATCGCCTGTAGTTTCCATCGACGATCTAGGGACGGTTGTAGGAGTGGTGGCCTGCTCGTCAAATGGAGACCTTGAGTTGCTCTTCTTCGAGGCAAAACTTTTACGTGAAATAGAAGGTAGGGGTGTACTTTTATGTAATTTATCATGTTCATTTTTAGGGAAATTTGTTACTGAAGTTTCATGTTATGTCTTGCGTGACAGTAAAATATATGATTTAATTTTTTCCTTCGGCCTCAATTCCTTCTGCCCCAGACAGTGTGATCTTCCCTGTCTGGCAGCGAAGATGCATGGATCGTAAAGGTGGTCTTTCATTTGACTTGATATGCCACCACATTAATCGAAAACAGGAAGTCAAACTTGTATGACATTTACTCTAAAATAGATCAGGAAGCGGTACAAAATTTTCGCCGATTGACAAAGAAAAAATCAACTTGTGTAAAACAAACGCAACATAAATTAGGGTCTAAAGCAACTTGAGCGAATGAGGTTTTGGATTACCAGCTTACTGACCTCATACCCAGAGTTTCAATAATTGATTTATAACTTAGAGGAAAATTTGACTTTTATTAATTGCTTATCAAAACCATGCTATCATCAATAATTCTAGAACAACTTAAAGCCAGATGTTCAGATGAAAATGGATTTGATGTTCCAGACTCTCCTATGATTCCACGTGATCCAACGCCATCTGCCCCTCCGTTTGTGCCGCAAAATACACATCCAGGTACAATTTTCGCTCCTACTGTGGAGCGGAATTTGTGATCAAACGTTTATTGAATCTAGTGAACAATTTTAGTCACGCTTTAGTGAATAAGAGAGTATCTTGGAAGGAAAAAGGCAACAGACAGTGAAATGACAAGGTGAAATGACATTTTTCTTTGTGACGAGAATAGGATTGATTACGCCTTATAAACTGTATCAATCTATGTGTGTATATTATTTCCAGTTATTTCCGTAAAGATAACCAATACAGTTGAGCTAAAAATATTCTCCTCCTTGAGCCCCTTTTACACAATATTGACCTTGAGAATAAATAATTCATTGCGAGTTTATTTGAGCCAAACAAGTAACACTCAGGGATCTTTCCGTAAGCAGAAACCAAAGCAGAGAGTAGTTTCATTAGATTGAAAGATTTCCTAACGCAAAGATGTTAGCTTTAGATCTTAAAGGTCGTGTCAAACGACTTTGATGTTGGTATAGTGCAAGAAAAAAGTTTGAGTTACTGTCCTACTGCGTTTGGCCAACGAAAAATTATGTCTGAGATAAGTACACATGCAGCAATATAAGACAGATTAATTGATATCGAGTACATACTGGTTTCACGAGTGCTTTGGGTTATAGATGTACTAAATAGTAGCTTTTTGATCAATGACAATGTGCGTATCTTTACTATTTTATAAATGCTGGCTGAAATCCAAAGATGACCATCTTAATATCGAAGCTTATATCTATACACTCAAAACAATATAAATAATAATAATAAAATAAATAATGGACTTATATAGCACCATATCCGACTGCTCTATGGTGCTTTACAATACTGAGTTAAAAAGATAATGACTACAATTGATTAAAGGCAAAATAAGACAAACAATCACATAAAATCACAAAATATTTGAAAAGAAAGCTTTTTTAAAAAGGTAAGTCTTCAGACATTTCTTAAAAGCAGCCAAAGAAAAACCAGGCTGTCTCATATGAATGGGCAGAGCATTCCACAACCGTGGGGCAGCCACCGTGAAAGCTCAGTCGCCATAAGATTTTGAATAGACCTTGGGACAACCAGAAGAGACTGTTTGGATGACCTGAGACTACGACTGGGGATATATGGTGTTAGCAAATCACTAAGATAGGAAGGGGCTAAATTATTCAGAGATTTAAAAACCAACAAGATCTTAAAATCAGTGCAATGCTCTACTGGTAACCAATGAAGCTCCGAAAGTAATGGTGAATTATGACCAGACTTAGGACAACGCTTAACAAGACGAGCCGCACAGTTCTGTACAGACTGTAGCCTCAGAGTCTGGTATTTTGGTAGCCCGTATAAAAGGGCATTCCCATTGTCTAACCTACAAGTTATAAAAGCATGTATAAACGCTATTGTAGACTCCTCTGACAGATAGCTCCTAAAGTAGAAGAGTATACTCCTAGAGTATAAAAAATGAAACTTAGTTTTGATCACATTTAATTTGTGGCAGTCAAAAAAGAGAAATCTTAACTTCCTTTTTGTAAACAAAATAATATGCAGATCTGGTGGTTTAAAAATACAAGGACTATAGTTCAGATTTGGCAACATTGAAGTAATTGTGCCTTAGCATTCCGGCACAATATTCATGCTTAAGATACAGTCCAAAGTATGCTTACAATTTTTTTTTAAGTGAAACAACTACCATTATCTTGTGATTAAATTGTGCCTTCTAAATTTTTTCAAATGAAATCTGGTTTTAACTCCTAGCACCTAGGCACATAACTGTTCTTGGTTATTTTAACTTAACTAATTACTGTCTTTTTGACACAATACACAGGAGATCCTGGAACTAATGAATCAACATCAAATGCAAGTTTAGTCCGAGCTTTTTCACATGCATCAATTCAGGGTAAGAATTCTAAATGTATTTCTTACCAAGAAACTTGCTCTCATTTGATCATATGTAAATGGAATTTTTGCACTACAAATATTAAACTATTAACTATTATTCTCCATCAAAGGGTTTAAAAACTGTACAGATTTGTTTAGCAATTTGGTGGTATTTGATATAAAAATTTGAGGAAAAATGACACACAGGACCTTGTCCCAAATTTTAGCAGAACTAACGGTCTCAAATATAGTTTTATTTAACCGTATCGTTGGTGAATGGAATAGCTTACCTAATCACATTAGAGAATCAGATAGTATTGAAACTTTTAAAAAGAATGTGTTAAGTTTTATTAAAGATAAGGATAATTAGCACATCTATGTTTATATTTCTATATAGTTTTGCTATATTAAATTTTTTTTAGTTAGAGGGGGCATGCCTTGTATGGTGTGTCAGCGCTTTTGGTTGTCTCCTTCTCCACAATTTTTCCTTTTATGGTTTTTGTTAACCTTAATTGTAATTAATGCTAATTGTTTGTGTATTCTTGTGGAGTGAATTTGTAATAAATAAATATTTGTATTTCTTACAAGGAGACTGGTCCTCTATCAGAGATTTTTAATAACAGCACTACCTGTTAATTTATTTGACATAATTTATTTGATCCGTTCCCCCCCCTTAAGGGTTTGAATGGTTAACAGAGAACCTGGAAAGTCTCAGAATTTCATTTTATTATTACCAAGTTCTGGGAAGTCATGAAATCACAGGTCCTGGATTATCTGAGGGAAATGTCTATTTTTTTTTTTTAACTTCAAATTTTGTCTTTGGAAATTTCTTTATTTTGAACAATTGCCATTCCCCTGAGACTTATAAATAGCAAGGTTTTCCTGCAACTGAAAAATTTTTTATTTAACAATGCCATTAATTTAACAAAGCATTTCTTTAACATTTAGAAACAACTCCACAAGAATCACAGGCACTCTCCCAAGAAGGAAAACCAGAAGAAAGCAGATGTATTTGGGATCCGCTGGTGCAATCTGTGAGATATTTCCAAGATTTGTTGACCTAGCTCAAGATACATCTGGACCCAAAGAGGGATCTTGGGGGAGATTATCGTACATTAGCTAGTACATTTGGAAAAGACATGTCTAAAATTTGGTTTTTGGGATCAATACCAAGTCCTGTTGAGGAACTGATTCAAGACTGTCGTCCAACTGTAAGACAGCTGTATATTAAACTAGGTAGTGATCAGGTCATACGAAAAGATGTCTCAAAGATAGTTGAGGACTGGGTTAAAAAGGAGCGTTGCAACTGTGAAAAATGTGGTTCTCTTTGTTAGAGTTTGGTCTAAGTTGGAGGTGTAATTTCTTTTATCGTGGTCTTCTTAAAGCGGAACACAAGATTTCATCTGGTATTGCTCGGAATCGCACTAGTCCTATAGATAATGCTAACTTAATTTATTTGAAGATAACTATTTTGCCACTAGGTAATGGAAGTTGCCCATTAAGCATGGAAATGGTACTTCATGTCCAAATCATCCATTTAACTTTTACAGTAATATTTAAAATTTTTAAGTGCTAGTCTAGATAGTTTCCCCAGCACAAAAAAAAAAAAATGCTTCAAAAGAAACAAGAGCTGCAAAATTAAGAATTTTTGATCACCTTTGTGACTTATAATCTTTGTATGGAGGGGTTTTATTAAATGCCAGGCACTGGGCAAGTTGACCAGCTGTAAGAACAGTTTTGCCCACCTAGTTTGTGCATCTAGAGGAAAGTTTATCTCATAAAGAAGTTCAGTTCAAAAGGTGTTGCCTGCCTGCAAAAACCAGTTGCCCTACTGCTGAGAGCGTAGATGAAACCAGTGTACAGGCATTAGTATCAAACTATGGTCCTGTAGAGTTTAACACACAAAGTGAGTGCTACTGAGTAGATGTGATAAAGATGACCGATGCAGTGATGCAACATGCCCTTGAGGAAAAACCAGGAACTCACTTCTTGCCTTAATATACTTACATATGGGCACTTACTGTACTATAGTACCTCATGTGGCTTCTTCACTGTGTTCTTTAAAAGAGCAACAGATGATATAGGCTAAAAAATAGGTTCTCATTCACTCTTCATTGAAATTCATGAAGCTTTTTAATTACAGAAGGAATGCATGTGTTAGTAATGAAGAGAAAAATTTGTTTTATGTCTGTTCAGATGACTTATGGCCAAGGTAACTTTAAAATTGGTCTTTTATTGCCTTGCATTTTTACCTGCACAAATGTGTGTCAGTGCTGTCGTCAGTGTAGTAGCAGGACTCATGGTATAGATTAAAAAAAAAAAAGCACTGAAAGGATAATGCACTATACACCCTAACATCAGTATACAAGTCATATTCTCTACAATGTTTTTCATACATTTTCTAAGTGCTCCTTTAGTTGATGATCATTTCCTTTGTTCTCGTGAGCTTAGGCTGCAATTCAGGGGTAATGTCCTGAGGAGAAATTAGATACCAAGGTTGCCACTCATTAGAACCCAAAAAATTCCCTAACTTTTCACGAACCTTGAATTAAATCAATAATCAAACAGGCCAAATCCACTTTTACATTTCTCTATGGCTTTCAAGCTTTCTATACGATTTGCTACACTCAATCGACCACTTCACAAACCTTTGTGGTACCCTCAAAACAAAATCTCCTGACTTTTCACTGACTTTGACGAGAACTAAGATTTTCCCAACTTTTTGCAAAATTCCCTGACTTTTCCCTGAGCTTGAGAAAGTTTTGTTTTTCCCTGACCAGGGCAACCCTGGATACTAATCAATCTGTGGCATTAAAGGGTTACTGCAATTTTTTGGTCTTAAAGATGAAGCAGAAAGTTGTAGTTTATGTTCAATCCACTTAATCTTAAACAGATGAGTCTTGAAATATGTTGCTTTATTAGGGTGTTCTTATGCATGTAGGCCTGTATTTTTTGTTAATTGTTCATTATTCTATACATTTAAAGTTATATTTTATGTAATTATGAATGAGAGTCGGTAAATTGCGAGTGAGTTACAATAATTATTGTTCTTAATTTAGTTAAATATGTCTATTAGGTTTCTTATTGGTTTTTAGTTCAGTAGAGTTCTTTTGTTCTTGAGGTGCCCCGTACTTATGTAATGCTTTGTCAGCTGAATTACGTGATATTCAATCATTTTCCATTTTTAAATGTAAGCTGAAAACTTATTTATTTTGTGCAGCTTTCTCAAAGTACCCTGTCTGACAATTACTTTTATTAGTATTACTAATTAAGTTCCTTATTAAGATCCTTATTATGGATAATCCATATTATTCGTATTTTTAACATACATTGTTAATATTAATGTACACGTAATTAGTTTTATAAATTTGAATTTACTGTTAGTAGTATTCTAAGTTGTTAAGCGCTTTTCATCATTGAATGAAAATAGCACTCTAGAAGTTATTAAATTAAATTAAATTGAGTTAAGTCAATGCATGAGTTCACTACTGGTAATCTGCTTACCACACGGACTTGCCTGAACCACTGCTAGGAAAGTTACTCAAACTTAGAACTACAATTGATTGCTTTTAATAAAATTAATAACCAAGACACTGTATATTCAGAGTAGTCAGTTAAAGTCTGTTGCAGATGTGAGAAACAAATCCTTTCATTCTTAATAGCACGATGATTATCTTAGAATGCCATGTGGAACACAAAAAAATATGAAACATTACAGACTATTGGATAGATACCGGTAACCATGGTCTGTTTTACTGACAAATTAAAAGATGAACTGCAACACTGAACTTTATTATTCTCAACATTTTCTTCATAATAAATAGCTTGATAGAAGTCTCTCAAAAAATACATTCTCATACAATGTGATGGGCCAAAAGGTTCTCTTTCAAACAAATGGTGGTGGCTGTAACAGTATATGATAAATATCTCCATTGTGATATAAATTTCCCAATATTTTTTTCAGTATCTTCTTCATAAATAGAAATAAACATCTCAAAAATTATATGATAACCTTGGTTAACACAATGTAACAAGAGCTACTATGGCAAAACTTTGTGTTGGAAGGGCTCTTGTCTGGGAAGATAAGTTCACCGAATGTTATGCACACATCAATTTGAAGTTTCAACATCCTCCCCCCCCTGTAACCCACAGGTATATGGCTGTGGTCTGTTCTAAGGGGATGGGGAATTTAAACCTTGCCTGCTGGGATTAGGAATTTTGAACCAGAAGAGTCAAGTATTTCTAGTGAAATAAATGTGCTTTCACTTCTAATATCAAGGTTTTTGAAGGTAAAGAGTTCACTTTTGCAAGCAAATGGCACAAAAGAAGTTTTAAAGCTTGGTCATTTCAGGTTTATTATCAATGATTTTTCCTTTTACAAAAAATTGGCCAAATTCAAACTTGGGC